TTTTCTCATTAAATATATGGAGCGAGTATCTTCAAATTCTCACTGATGTGTCCAACCAACAGCCCTCATGATGCAGAGAGACGAAGAAGTTAAGACGAACGAGAAACCAGGAGACTTTAGAGCAGAAGAGTGGAAGATCTGAGAGTTAAAAGCCTTTGGAAACATCTATGTGAGTCTAAAGGATCAGTCGGAGCAGATTTCTTTCTTTACCTGAGTACGGTGGTCTAGGAGGGACAGGGGGACACTTTCCATTAAAATCAGAGAGCGGCGTGTCTAGACTCCAGCTACTTGGTGCAGGCTTCACCACTTTTACACACAAAACATGCATTTCAGGTACATCAGTCAACTCAACTCAAAATATGACTGGCAATAGCAAATCAGGATTTGTCCGGACTAGGATGTAAAAGAACGGAAACTGTCCTGCTAAAACTTCCTGCCTCAAAAACAAAAAATATATCAAATGAGGAAAGAAAAATGTGTTGTTTATATGGGTTTTTTTTTTTTGGATCGTTAACATACATTTTAACATATATTTTCCATATAATGTCTTATATGGAAAAAATATCCTGAAAACATTCAATATCCAAAACCTTCTACACTTTCTTTTCTTTACATTAAAATTAAATCGATTTAAAATTGCAATAGTTTGCTGGGCATCTTTTAGGACAAGCAAATCCTCTTAGACATGTAAATAAATATTTGATATAAATAACGAAGGAAAAGCTAAAAGTTGCCAGTGTCTTTGCAAGTCATTATACCCACTAGGAGTTAGCTATTAATTTAAATAACTTGGATGAACAGATGAAATAAAGATGATGAAATCTCCTCAACATCTTTCTGTCAATCAGAATAAGTGCGAGTCTGTTGGTGAACCTCTTTGGTGGTTCAGTCACAGCTGTCACAACACACAGGAGCGGCGAGCTGTCGGCAAGCATCAGATCCAGTGCACTGATCGCCAGACCCCCGTCACGTCAGACCACCCTCCTCACAGCAGGGCGGCAGACTGAAGATTCAGACACTCACATGCACATGCTCACCTTTATCGGGGGTGGAGATGTTGGGGTCACTGCGAGGCAAGGAAGCGTCGCCCGCTGGGTGTGGAACCGGCCTCTGTGAAAGAGATTCACGTCGGTTGTGACTTCCGTCGAGACATCATTCGGCGATTACTATAGGCTACATGGTTTCATTTTGAAATATCCATGACATAGTTGTTGTTGTTGTTTTTTTTTTATATTGAAGCATATTTTGTGTTTTATTTGCCATTTTCATTAATAGCAGAGGAGAGACTCAAGCTTCATTTTAACGTGAACTAGCTACAATCCACAAGTGAAAAAAGTGGCATTTCACCTATCCATTAATTTATACAATACATTTACAAATATTGAAGCATATTTTGTGTTTTATTTGCCATTTTCATTAATAGCAGAGGAGAGACTCAAGCTTCATTTTAACGTGAACTAGCTACAATCCACAAGTGAAAAAAGTGGCATTTCACCTATCCATTAATTTATACAAAATTTACATTTACAGTATTGAACAAAAAATAGAGTTATCATATACATTTTTTTGAGGAAAGACACATAATATAGAGTGAGGAGGCAAAAGTGAAAAGGATGTAATTTTCCTCCCTATTAGAATTTGCTGCCGATTCTGAAATGGGAATTCTGTTAATTCGCAAATGAAGTAACCTCAATTATGAGAAATAAAGTTTTGATTACAAGAAAGTCCTAATTACAAGTAATTAAGACTCAATTACGAGAAATACAGTTTTAATTGCGAGAAATAAAGTCTCAATTACAAGAAATAAAGTCTCAATTACGAGAAATAAAGTCTCAATTACAAGAAATAAAGTCTCAATTACGAGAAATAAAGTCTCAATTACAAGAAATAAAGTCTCAGATGCTAAAAAATAGTCTCTATTATGAGAGTCTCAATTACGAGAAATAAAGTCTCAATTACAAGAAATAAAGTCTCAGATGCTAAAAAATAGTCTCTATTATGAGAGTCTCAATTACGAGAAATAAAGTCTCAATTACAAGAAATAAAGTCTCAGATGCTAAAAAATAGTCTCTATTATGAGAGTCTCAATTACGAGAAATAAAGTCTCAATTACAAGAAATAAAGTCTCAGATGCTAAAAAATAGTCTCTATTATGAGAGTCTCAATTACGAGAAATAAAGTCTCAATTACAAGAAATAAAGTCTCAATTACGAGAAATAAAGTCTCAATTACAAGAAATAAAGTCTCAATTACGAGAAATAAAGTCTCAATTACAAGAAATAAAGTCTCAGATGCTAAAAAATAGTCTCTATTATGAGAGTCTCAATTACGAGAAATAAAGTCTCAATTACAAGAAATAAAGTCTCAGATGCTAAAAAATAGTCTCTATTATGAGAGTCTCAATTACGAGAAATAAAGTCTCAATTACAAGAAATAAAGTCTCAGATGCTAAAAAAAAGTCTCTATTATGAGTCTCAATTACGAGAAATAAAGTCTCAATTACAAGAAATAAAGTCTCAAATGCTAAAAATAGTCTCTATTATGAGTCTCAATTACGAGAAATAGTCTCAATTACAAGAAAAAAGTCTCAATTACAAGAAATAAAGTCTCAAATGCAAAAAATAATCTATATTATGCGAAAGTCTCAATTACAAGAAATTGTCCTAATTACTACAAATAAATTCTCATTCATGAGACAGTCTAAGTTGTGAGAGATAAAGTTTAAATTATGAAAAATCAAGCTTCAATTAGGAGAAAAAAAAAATCAGTCATAAAAAACTCAAATAAAAACTAAAATAGTTTTAAATATGAGAATTCTTAATTCTGTTAATTTCTTGGAAGAAAATTGTGAAGACGTCATCAGATTTGAGCTGATGAGGTTACTTAGTCTTCTGCACAGATACTTTACCTAATAATTTCACTGAGACACATTCACAAAATAAATTCCATCTAGTCATTTTTAAGGATGCGGTTAATGCCGAAACACTCCAATATGACCTGAAGACTCTGGTGAATATTGAAAACATTGATATTCTAATCGTCTTCATACCTGTGCGGGATCCAGGGGATTTGGATATATGGCGCTGTAGGGTCTCTCCCGTGGCGAGAGGCAGTTCTCTCTGGAATGCTTGCGTTTATCCGACAACTGTGGAGAACCTGTGAAGGGTGAGGAGGTCCAAGCAAGGGAGTGATTTCAGTAACACACCGACAAGAATGCTCAAATTTTGTGTCCACATACGCACTCAGACAAAAACAAAAGGACATAGATCTTGCTCTCATTTCTTTCCTAACCAGCCAGCACATAAAATAAAGGCTCTTCCTCCTCTTTCCCTCCCGCTAGGGTGAGAATTGTTCTGCTGGGGTGACAGACGGTTATTTCGCAGGGAGAGATAGACTAGCCAACATGAGGAGCAGCCTGGACCTGCTCAGAACACTAACTTCCTCCTCCAGCACAGGACAGGAGGCCACGGCTCTCTTATGCACCCCGGTGATAGTCATCATCAGTCTAGAGTTCTTCAAGCTGCATTTTATGCAATCTGTAATTCTCCAGAAGCGCTTCCTGTCTGCCGCTGCTTTATGGGGGTCTCTATGGGAGGCAGGGAGGGCTGCCAAGGGGAGACTATAAGATTACATAAATGTCTCCATACATATTCCTGTTTTTATGATCTGTGTCCGCAAGTAAACACATGCTGGATGGAGGGAGATAAGAGGCCAAGGAAGAGCGGAGGAGAGAGAGAAACAGAGGGGAGAGTTCTGCTATATATCAGGATGCCGGCTTTCAGTAACCCACAGTAAAACAGCATTAAGTGGGCCATAACCTTTGCTTTGCAAAAAAAAATTTAATCTGAAATCTGTTTATTATGGAAGCCTGATTCTGAATCAGTAAAAAGTAAAAAAAAGGTAATTGTGATAAAGCTTAAATGAAGAAAGAGTTGTAATTGCAACAAATAAAGATGCAATTATGGGAAAAACAGTAATAATCTCTTGCAATTGATATATATATTATATATATATGTCTAAATTACCAGGAAAAATTAATAAGTCACAAATAAGATGTCACATTGTAAAAATATAAAGACTCAGTTGTGAAAAATAAGTCTGAAAAGTGAGAGAGTCTTAATTACGAGAAATAAAGTCTAAACTGTGATGTAAAGTTGCAAATATGGGAAAATGTTGAATTGTGGAATATGAACACACAATTATGAAAAAAAGGCTCAGTTTTAATAAAGTCTTAATTATGAGAAATCAAGTCGCAATTAATAAATATTAAAAATAAGATCCAAATTGTGCTATAAGGTCGCTGATGTAAGATACATCACACTGTGAAAGACTCAATTATGAGATTACCAGAAAAAAGTCGCAATTAAAAGAAAAGATCCAAATTGTGTTATAAAGTTGCAAATGTGAAATGCCATATGTCGGAATATGAAGACTCAGTTACGAGAAGACACAAGAAATAAAGTCTCAAATGCGAGAAATAGTCGCAATTGCAAAAAAAAAAAATAATAATAATAATAATAAAATAAAATACAAAATTATATATATATACAGTGGGTACGGAAAGTACAGAGCCCTGACTTAAACCCAATTGAGCATCTCTGGAGAGACCTAAAAATGGCTGTCCACCAACGTTTACCATCCAACCTGATAGAACTGGAGAGGATCTGCAAGGAGGAATGGCAGAGGATCCCCAATTCCAGGTGTGAAAAACTTGTTGCATCAAAAAGACTCATGGCTGTATTAGATCAAGAGGGTGCTTCTACTAAATACTGAGCATTTTTCAGTTTTTCTTTTTTAATAAATCTGCAAAGATGTCAACAATTCTGTGTTTTTCTGTCAATATGGGGTGCTGTGTGTACATTAATGAGGAAAAAAAATTAACTTAAATGATTTTAACAAATGGCTGCAATATAACAAAGAGTGAAAAATTTAAGGGGGTCTGAATACTTTCCGTACCCACTGTATATATATTGCAATTATAAGAAATGACGACCAACTTGTTATATAAATTTGTAAATGTGAGACCACATTGTGAAATACGAAGACTCAATTATGAAAAAAAAAAAACAGCCACAATCATGAGTATACAAGTCCAAATTGATTGATTTAACATTATAAATGAGAGATATATAAATTCTCAAATTTGAGAAATAAAGTCTCAATTATACAAAATAAAGTCTCAATTGTAAGAAATATAGTCACAATTACGATAAATAAGGTCCAAATTGTCATACAAAGTCACATATGTAAGATACCGCATTATGAAAAATAATGTCTCAAATATGAGAAATAATCAAACATGCTTTTTGTAATTTTTTGGTGGAACAGTTTCTGTAACTTCAGTCTTGCATCAAAAAGTTATAATTTGGTTTTACTAACCTCTCTCTGACCCTTAGGTCAAAAAATACTTCAAATGAATTTTAAAAATAAATATGAGAAAGCTTGGTCGGTGCATTCCAAGCACACAGTCCACTGTATATTTATCATAAGTTCTTGTGTTACTGTCAAACCTCAAACCTCAGTAGCTTTGCTGTGTGAACACTGAAATAAAAGTTTGATATAGACATACTCCAAAGGAGCAAAGGTTTGGAATGGCTGCTCTGAGAGCGGACGGACTCTTCTCACCTCTGGCACTGGACGGAGCCGAGCTGGTCACGTTGGGAGAGGCCGAGTGATTGGAACTGAGACTTGAGGTAGACGGACTTGGCTGGAAAGACAAGAAAAAAACGTGAGAAACATAAGAAAGAGCCCACAGATTTCTGCACTTTGTTGTCGGTCTATAATATGGACGGGTTATACCAGTGTTTCCCAACCTTTTTTTAGTCGCGGCACCCTTTGGAAATTTTAACAAACTTGTGGCACCCTACAAAATTAATTTTGTCACAATATTTGAATTTCTAACTTTGATATGATAATTTGAAAAGTATAGATATTCAGTACAACAGGGAAGAACTGCAGAATATAATGCCATACAGATATTTTTAATATTATTAAAAAAAGTTGTCCATCAATGGTGGCAATCGCTAATCTAATTAGCATCTTAATTAGAATCTTATTCTAATGAAAAGACCTATTTATATGACAGATTTTAATGTAGGCTCTTATTCATATGTAAACATTGTGAGATAGCTAGTTATAATGGTAATTAAATCATGTTTACATATGTATAAAAGCCTACATTAAAATCTGTCATATAAATTGGTCTCTTCATTAGAAATTAGCCTACTGATTGCCACCATTGATGGACAATTTTTTAATATTAAAAATATCTGTATGACATTATATTCTACAGTTCTTCCCTGTTGTACCGAATATCTATACTTTTCAAATTATCATATCGAAGTTAGAAATCCAAATATTGTGACAAAATTAATTTTGTAGGGTGCCACAAGTTTGTTAAAATTTCCAAAGGGTGCCGCGACAAAAAAAAGGTTGGGAAACACTGGTCTAAATAACTGCCAAAATAATTATTTTATCAAAATGTCTTTATTAGGGCTGGGCAAAAAAAATAGATTTTTCGATTAATCGTTTTTTTAAATGACGTCGATTTGATATCGA